CTAATCAGGAATTTTGACAATAGATAATCTGAAATAGCTTATGGATGATTAAAGAAGAAGTGATTTTTACTGAGGTTCATCATCTAAAAATTAGAAACCTTTGGAAGTCTCCATTTTTAAGTCCATGATCATTGGACATCAAAGTTAAAAAAGTGCGCTCTTGAAGATGATTTGGATATATATTTTTTCTTTGTGTTTTGTAAAGCCTATTATTGAGACAGAGCTGAGATTTCAGTTCTGAAGATCTTTTAAGAAGACAAACTCGATGGACTGTTCTATTCATATTTTAATAAAGTCGAACAAGATTAAATTTGAGAAAACCTAATGTAATGACTAAATTTGATGCCTAAGTCGAGATTAATTATAAGATTTTATCAAACTCCTAGAGAGACAACCATTTTAAAAATCTATTGAAGGAAAATAATACAAGTATCACACCTAAATGTGCTCTTTTTATTTATTTATGAAATAACTGATACCAAGCATAATACAAAATCGCGGAGCTGTTAACGTTCCCTTGTACAATCAGGGTCAGTGTTGAAACCTAGGCCCCGATCACTCTTGTCCTCATTCCTTCCGTTATCGTTGCATCCAGCATTCAGCAATGCACATCATCCCATTAGTTCACCCTACTGCAGATCTGCCTGATCTCTCCATTGGAGCTGGTAAGGGGGCTGATGTTGCCTCTCTTTACCATCGCCACCGCGAAGTCTCTGAAGAAGACGTAGCTGCTGGCCACATAGCTTTGGATGAGGGAATCTGGGGGGCCGTTATTTAAGAACTCCTAGTTGGAGTGTCGAAAACCATGGAGGGACACGAGATTTCTATAGTAGGCATTGTTGAAGACCCTCAGCATTGAGACATCGAGCGGCGAGAAGCTGTTGCTGCCGCCGGACCAATGTTGACGTGGCAAAAAAGTTGGGGTCAATGTTGACATCGCTGGTTCAGAAAAAGAAGCAGCAGGCGAAGCCGATGGTGTGCGCGCCAGAGAGGGCCACAAGATCCTACAAACTCAGGCCCTTGATGGCGATCCTGATGGTGTGGGCAGAAAGGCTGGACGATGAACTAGGGAGGTCTCCATTGTACGACGTGAAGTAAGGTAGAAGAAAGAACAACTCACAACAAGAGCACCGACACAAGAATTTTACGTGGTTCAGAGGTTGGCCTCCTACGTCTATGGACAATGACGAAAGTTCCACTGGATGCAGAAAATAGTACAAGTGATCTTGGCCCTCTGATGCACTCACTAACCCAAGAGATCTTCCTTGGAAGCTCTCTCTCAAACACTCTCTCTATATAGTGGAACAAAGGTAGAAGAGGTTGCTGTGTGTTACCTCGAATGAGGAGAAGTGACCCTCTATTTATTGGCACCTCACAGCCACCGGTAACCGTACTAGCAAGAACCTCGGAAAACATGTCAGACAGTTTCCCTTTCTTCAGCCTGCACCGTTCATACCGCGAATTCGTTCGACGGAGAATCGGCGGGGACGATCTTAAGGATGTCAAGGCGAAGAATTCACCAAGACGACGCCGTCACTGGTGGTGAGGGCAAGAATGTCGGCGCACGTCACGGTGCTGTTGCACGCTGCCTCGACTGCAGATTTGATGTCCTCGATGACGTCCATGCCGCGAATGGAGTTTACGTTCTAGGGAGCGGTCTGCTCGCCTTGGAACGTCGCGGTGTCGACCAGGAGCACCGACGCATCGCAGCCCTGCAGGATCACACGTGCGGCAGCATTAGAACCGTTGCGGCGGAGTGGAGAGGGACCGGCTGTCCGTTATCTACAAGAGTCTGTGCGTGCGCTTTCTTGGACGAAACAGTAGTGAAAGAAGAGGCGGAGAAGGGAGGCGGGCAAGCGGGGCTCGTTCCCGACGGCCGTTTGCATGGCACTTTGTACGATCGTCTGCAGGTTGGGGCAGCTCGGCGAGTAGAAGTTCGCTGTCAGCTGCGCGTGTGCCGTGCACACGTACGAAGGAGGAGGAGGAGGAAGGAAAGGGAGATGCAGCGTGTGACCGTCATTTCTAGCGATGGAAAGGGGCCTTCTCTTTATATATATCTCTCTCTCTCTCACTGAAGTGTCGAGTGATGGTGTCCAGGGCTCTTCTCGTTAAATAGAGCGAGGGAGGGCTTTTAGCCGTCTTCATTCACATGGAAGGCTTCCTTGGCTTCGCGGTCGGCTGTGGAAGGTACGTTAACTCTTGTTCCCATCTCTGAGAGTGGGAGAGGGAGAAGGAGAGGGAAGGAGAGAGTCATTCTGGTCTTTGTTTCTGTTTGAATGTGTTCAATGGTAATTTAAATGCAGGGGTTTCGAGAAATCTGCGTCCCCGAATAAGAAGATAAGGCGAGCCCACTTAGGATGGGAACAAATTGGAAATTAATTACAAGGTTTTTTTGTAAAAGCTCTTCGCATAAAAATATACAGATTTAGATCTTCTGGAGACATGGTTTCAAGTATTCTTTTACTATCCTAGTAAATAGGACTCTTCTATTGCCGTGTTGTGACTTATTTACGGATATTTAGGCGCAATTTTTTGAAAAAGTACCTAAATATATATATACCACAGTTTTTTCTTGATAAACGAAATAATTTTGTTTCCTTTCTGACTTTCATCCGGCGACAACGACTGCTACGGCGGCGGCGATTGTGCTCCAAAGGAGTGAAGAAAATCTACCATCAGCAATATCGTTCTGAAAGAGGACGTACGACTATTTTTTTTCAGTCGTACGTCTCTCTCTCTCTCTCTCTCTTTCTCTCCCTCTCCTATATGGGGGAAAGGGGTTGCATGGTGACAACCCGAAAAGATCTTTCCTCTTTTAAAAAGAGTAGGTGGGGAGATAGACATATAAAGAGAGATGGGAGAGAGAGAAAGAGAGAGAGAGAGAATTTTTCAACGCAGAAAAGATATTTCCTTTAACCTCATGTAAGAAGACGTCATACTGTAACCCCTACGCACGTCAGGATCATCGGATCTTCGGATCTCAGAGAACGAGACGTTCCTCCTCGACAGGTCTTTTTCTAAGTGGACCTTAACAGTACTTGCTCGCTATTTCAGAGAACCCTCGATCTTTTCATTTAAGAAGACTCACGATGTTGTGACAAAAAATACGAATGACAAGATATGAGATAATCCAAAAAGCACTTGATCATAATCAAATTTGTAAGCCGACGTGGATGTTGAGCATTTACCTGTAAGAACTTAATTCTTGCCAATGAATTGATTGTTGTCTATTGGCACGATTTTCCCTTGCCGTTTGATCGCCGCCAAACAGACTTGCCTTGACAGCTGGGTGACATGTGAGATCTACCCACTGGCAATGTCTGCATCATTACCAACTCTTAATACTCGTCAAGAACAAAGAAATAAATAGGGAGCTGGAAGAGCTGCCGAAGACGGTCAGAGATACTGACTTTTCCACGCGTCGGAGTCCCCTCAGTCAACAAGGTCGGGGCAGCGGGTCGGCTGTCTCTTTTAATCAAATTCTCTTGACCTTCGAGCTGGTAGCCCTCTTATCTCTTGTCATGGGTGAAGGGAGATCTTCACCATTGCAAAGCTGAGGATTGATGGCCCTCCATAAGTACACCTCCCTCTCGCTTTCTCTATCTATCTCTTTCCCTCTTTCCTTAATTTGTATAACTTAAGCTTGCCCCCGTGTACTGGTTTTGTTCTATTTATCCACTCATTCACCTTTCATTCTTTCTGAAAGTGAAGCAAATGCTCGGGCAGTATTCAAGTAGAAAAACAGATGGGTAGACGGACAGATGGATAAATAGACAGAGAGGAGGAGAGAGAAAAAGACAGGGAGAGAGAGGGGGAGAGAGAGGGGGGGAGAGAGAGGGAGAGGGGGGGGGGGAGAGAGAGAGAGAGAGAGATACACACACACACACACACACACTTACACTTTTTGATAGGTGAAATCACCGCAAGAAATATAATTATTGAAGACAAACTTTGTGGAAAAAAAAGTTTGCTATCTTTATCCTTGCCGTCAGGTCGTCTAAGTATCTATCGGCGATTGATGTTGGTAGGTCCTCTACATTCCTTGGGGCCCCTGTCATGGATCATCGTTGTCTAAATACTCGTGAAGAATTTTCGTATTATAGAGGCAAAAGAATAAAATTATTGCTATATATTTTTGGAACAATTTCCACGAATATTTACAAAATAAATAAAAAACTTTATTCGGATACTTGGAAATATTACGATAGTAGAAGTATACACGCATGCGCACTTTTCCATCCTAAATATTACCACATTATGTTCTAAAGGCAAGATTATGTGTACATGAAAATATCTTTTAAGTTTCTACTTTTGTTGCCCTCAGGAGTGGGCCACCCCTCTCTGATTCATGACGGTCTCACTCCAGCAAACTAAAGATCGTAACAACTGATTGTGGAAGGGGTCAATTGGCCGCGGACCCATATTTGACTATTGACTGGTTGAAAACCCAGATGTAACGTAGAGCGTCATCAGCATGCGCTTTAACGTATTGGATTCGCGAACCAGCATCCTCGAATGCGAAGTCTATGGAAGAATAACCGTGAACCTCCGCTCTATGATAGTAAAGGGATTCTATAAAAGCATCTGACTTGTCACCGTAAAAGATCAGAAAAACTGGGGGGAGGACAATTGATGACGGCGGATAACGGCGCCGCTCTCTCTCTCTCTTTCTCTCTTTGTCGCCCGCCCTTTCTTTCACGCTATCAGAGATGGGAATATCAATGTCCGTCGCTTTCCTTGTTGACTATGGAAAAATGAGGCAAAATAATGAGGGTGAAGAGCCCTTCCTCACTCTATATAACGGGCACTAGTCCTGCAAGAGCTTCACCACGACACACTTCTCTAAGTGCGATATTTACATTTAGAGCGAGCGAGAGAGAGAGAGAGAGAGAGAGAGAGAGAGAGAGAGAGAGAGAGAGAGAGAGAGAGAGAGAGAGAGAGAGAGAGAGAAGAGAGACAGAGAGAGAGAAGAGAGACAGAGGCGTCTTTCCATCGCTGAAATGGCCACACGAAACTACTCTCTTGTCTCCCTCCTCGTCCTCCTCTATGTGTTCACGTCACACGCGCAGCTGACGGCGAACTTCTACTCGTCGAGCTGCCCCAACCTGGAGTCAATCGTGCAAAGTGCCACGGAAACGGCCGTCAGGAGCAACTCCCGCACGCCCGCCTCCCTGCTCCGCCTCTTTTTTCACGACTGCTTCGTCCAAGTAACCTCACGCACAAACTCTTGCAGATGACAGAGCCGGCACCTCACCGCACCGCCGCAATGGTTCTAATGCCGCCGCACGTGTGATCCTGCAGGGCTGCGACGCGTCGGTGCTCCTTGTCGACGCCGGAGGCGAGCAGACTGCCCGGGCGAACAGAAACCTTCAAGCCTTGGACGTCATCGAGGCCATCAAGTCCGCCGTCGAGGCGTCGTGCAACGGCACCGTGTCGTGCGCCGACGTCCTGGCCCTCGCCACCAGGGACGGCGTCGTCCTGGTGAGCTCTTCCCCTCGAAATCGTTGGGATCCTCCCGTTAATGTTCTGTCGAACGAATCAACTATCTAACCAGCGGAGGCTGCCTCCATGCAGAGCGGAGGACCCTCGTGGACGGTGCTGCTAGGGCGGCAGGACGCTACGACGGCCAGCGAAGAAGAAGCCAACCGCAACCTCCCCGGTCCATCGTCCAGCCTCTCTTTTCTCATCAACTTGTTTGCAGGAAAGGGCCTGAATTTGCAGGAACTCGTGGCCCTCTCCGGCGCGCACACCGTCGGGTTCGCCCCCTGCCGCGCCTTCCGAACCCATATCTACAACGAGTCCAACATTGACACCGAGTTCGCCATATCCGCTCGGGCCAATTGCCCCTTTGAGGGCGGCGACGACATCCTCTCGCCGTTAGACGTCACCACCCGAGCTGTCTTCGACAACGCCTACTACACAAACCTCGTGTCCTTGCGGGGTCTCTTCCACTCCGACCAGGAGCTCTTCAATAACGGCCCCGCGGATTCCATCGTCCAAAGCTACGTGGCCAGCGGCTCCGTCTTCTTCAGAGACTTCGCGGCAGCGATGGTAAAGTTGGGCAACATCAGCCCTCCCGCCGGCTCCAGCGTGGAGATCAGGCGGGTCTGCAGCAGGGTAAACTGAGGGGACGTTATGTGAAAGACTCTTTGGCGGATATGAGATCAGTGGTGGGAATAGAGAGAAGAGTTACGTCGCCGCTAAGTTTCTTCAGTGACCGGTTCTTGATCTGCATCAGAAATGGATTTTCTCGTTTAAAAAAAAACTGTACGATTCAACGTTAACAGCTTCCCTGCGTAGAAGGCGACTTTTCGAGATGTCAAAAAACGACAAAAAATATAGGACAATATATATATGTGATTTATATTGGCAATCACCCTAAAATAAACTAAATAAAATAAAGTATCACCGATATTTTCATTCAGAAGAACGAATTTGGAAAATCTAATTGTACTAAAAAAGGAAGAAAAACCAACACAATTTTATAAATACATCGAAGGTAATAAAAGCAAAGTAAAGAATAATCTGTACAAGTTGATTTCCGAGGTTTTTCTGTAAAATTATGCATATTTGCAATAAAAAACTTGTTAGGGATGATGTGTAGATATATTGAGGTTGATGTAGTCTAGATGAAGATGAAAAATGGTTTGTAGGAAGATAATAGTCATTCGTTGAAATTGAATTCATTTTCAACATTTCTACAAAGATATAATTACACTTAGCCCTCATAGAATACTTTTTTAGCATAATAACTCTTAGAAGTTTATTGATCGATTAGATATATTAATTCTTTTTGAAAATCATGAATTATATATAACATGAGACATTTTAGGACTATATTGCTTTCGGATAGTCAAACAAACAATTATTGATAAGCCCCTCTTTTCTCATTTGGATTTATATTGCTTGTAAACTATCTTAGTTCTATTTTTAGGTCCTTTTTCTGGATAGTTATACCAAATAGTTAATTTTATGTGGAAGTGAGGGAAGGAGGGAGAGAGAGAGGTCAAGGGTGGGAAATAGTGGATAATTTTGATTAGGAAGTACCTTTTTATTAATTAACACATGAATGTTCCTCTCTCCAGTAAGTTTTCTTGTCTATCTACAATTGATTGGGATAATGATTGGTGGATGACGGTGACCTATTTATGGTCATGAAAACATACTTTCAGTTGTTAAGTAGAGAAGGATGTTTTACTGAACAGGCCATCTTTAGAGTCTCAAGACCTAGGCTGGTATCAAATAAAGATCCCAAAAATGAATCATGACAGGAACCTAGCCTGAAGTCAAAAGGGGGTCGATGTAGCTGCCCCCCACCTTTGGAGAGAGGGAGAGAGAGAGAAATAGACACTTTTTTGCAAATCAAGGTCATGTTATTCCTGCTGATCATGTCATCTTTTAGCTAGAGATTCTGGTTCCCAAGGACTATTGTTTGTTGCAGTAGTCTCCATCATTAGTGTTAAACATACAATAAAATTACTTGTTTATCAATGAAAACAAACATTTGAAATCAATTTATTTGAATTTTCAAACATGTTTAGACATCCAAGCTCATAAATAAATAATGACACAATAATATAGAATCATATTTATTGACCTGATTAGGTATCTTTGGAACCTATGTTCATAACATTTATGTATAATTTTTTATGAGAAGAGCATAAATAAAACTAATATTCATCCCAAAAAGAAATGGTAAGTGAAATTACTCTATGAACAACTAACAATCTAATTTTCAGTTCCTTCCTTTCCTACAATTTCTTAAATGCTCTTTATCCAATTTCATCGAGGGCCATTGGCTTGAATAGTGTTAATGCTTGATTTTTTAGTTCTTAGTTTGCTTCATTTAAGTAGTTTACTAATTTAATTTGTAGAAAAGTATAGCTTTATATAGTTAATTTTGAAGGGTAGAAGTTAAAAGAGTTGATGTATTTTTTCTTAAAAATAAAAATAATAATCATACATATTAATATTAAAAAGTAATATATATATATTATATTATATTTTATTATAATGGGCTATAGACATGCATCCCTGTGTTCCATGGCTTGTGCCTAGATTGCCAACTTGTCGGCAGAAAAATAAAGTATTATTACATGTGACATTTCTGTCAACAAAATTGGATGTAGGACTAATGTTTTTTCTATGTTTCTGGGCACTCGTTCATGACGCCCAGATCTTGTGGCAGTCAGTGCACCACATCAGTAGAAAAGGTAGATCTCACAGTGAACAAAGCAGACGATACCCAAAATGTAAAATGTTTGGGTGGCAGTTCGTAGATCTTATATTGCTCAACACATCATGTGACAAGAAAGGTTGACCCCGTGGTAGGAGAAACACCATGACACTTGGAAACTTAAAGCACTCATATGACAACGGTTCATGATAGATTGATCTTGCATTGCTCAACATGCCACATGACTAGAAACACTTGATCCAATGACAAGCGAATCATCACAATACTACGAACTTGAGTTTTTGCTTGTATTAATGTCAGAGATGTGAAGATAATTCTTGATTATTATTGGGTAAAATAGATATTATTGATTATCTTTAAAGTTTCATCAGAAATTGTTAAGATGACATCCGTTCTTTCTTTGTTTTGCATGATCAAAGCCTCAAGTGATCACCGAGCTTGTTCCTTCCTTCTTCGACTACACTAAAGGCCTCTAGCAAGTGGTCAACTCTTCTCTCTCAGACAATAGTGATAATATGGTTGACTTCTCTTTATGACGGATCTCTTCAACAAGTGGTGCAGAATGTCTAAATGACACTTTTATAATTTTTGGCATGATATGATATGTTCATGTGAAACCAAACCACCACACTTGTGTCTCTAGTTGTTCAAGAGGTAGACTAACTTTAGGCAGTTCAAGAGATATAATTTTTGTTTTTAGTATTTATTTACATACTTTGATTTAAAACTTGACGAATGATTTTTTCCTCCTCTAAATCTTTTGAAAGTCATCTAAGATCAAGTTGATATTATATCCCACTTATTTTCTATGAATATTTGTAGTTGAATCTTGATGCATTTGTGTTCTCAACTTATTAGAATAATGATTATTTTTTTAATTTTAAACTTAAAATTAGTGAGATTAAAGGCTGATTAATGATTATTTAAGTGTTAAAATAAGGTTGAGACATTCACACTTGACCTCATGCCATGTGTGATAATTTTTGAGCACAGATTCATCTAAGAATCATGGTGACCATAACATGTTGATCATTTTCTCTCCTTATTATCATCTTATTTCCTTCTCACCCTCTCTTTCATGAGACCTCTTCCTCTCTCTCACCCTCTCTCTCTCTCTTTCTATCTCTCATAAGATCTCTCCTACTTTCCCTATCTCGTAATATCTCTTTATTTCCTCCTCTCTCCTCTCTCTTCGTGAGAGATCTCTCTTCTCTCTCTCTTTTCTTCCTTTACTTCTCCATTATCTTTATTTTTCCCACTTCACACTTTTATTTTATTATTTCTATTAAGTAGTGTTAAATTATTCAATTCGATCTATATTTAAACTAAATTGATTTTTTATGATGAATTAATCAATTTCTCTATGTTCAACTTGAAACTTGCATCTATATTAATATCTCATTAAGTTATAAATATTATTAGATAATAGACATTTAAACACAATGATAAGGGCACATCAACCAAATTAACACTGATATGTGATTCTTAGTGTTATAGGATGTGATTCAACTTATTGGATCTGAGATAAGGAAGAAGGTAGAAGAGAAAAGAAAATGAAGGGAGAGGGAACCATGAAGTACTAACATACACTTGAAGTAATTCAAGAGATCACAATGTCAAAATAAACAGTGGCAGTCACAAGGATACAAATTAGAAAGCTTACTTATTAGGTTTAGAATCAGCATATTAGGATTTTCTTCAACTACTTCTAAAAAAATATTGTGGAGGCAAAGGAATGAGAGATATGAGAAACAACTCTATGACAGCTCCATGTGCAACCTGCCAGGTAGTGGCTATATCTCTCAGCGAGAGATATGAGAAATAGCTCCATGACAGCATGCCATTGAATGATGATGGTGTATGAGAGTTCCATTGGCTCCAACTGAGAGATCAGATAGGTCTGCAGTAGGGTAAACTAATGGCTCGGAATGCTTGACTATGTCTGACAATGTTAGATGAATGTAGCTTTGTAAAAATAGCAAATGTAGAAACAAAAGACCGTAAGCCTTGATATGTTTTTGTCATATTGTAAAAAAGGTTTAATTTTAATAATATAAGAGCATCATTTTGTGTAAGGTAGAAGTCAGTCCATTTGCCACTTCCGTTATCTTTGTTTCCTAAGTTTTGTTTCTTCTGTAGTCTCTTATATCTCTATCCGGGGAATGTCGAAATACACAAGTTTGATGTGAACTTCGATTTTGTGATATCTACATGTGCGTAGATAGTTTTGACGGTACTTACAGATGAAAGTTTGTTTACGTTACTTTTCAAGAATATCTAGGGTGACTTAGTTATAATCTTGAATACATAATTATTGATAATATATTTATGTTCGGACGTTTATGGTTGGACATTTCAAGGAACAAAAAATAGTAAGATACCAGCCAAAAGGGCTGAAGTTAAAAAATAGTTTAACAATTCTTCCTGCATATTGTTGAGAGGAAACTCTTTTATGATATGTTAGCGTAGAAAAAAAATAAATTGGACGATGTAATAAAGATTGGCTGAAAAGGAAAGTAGATTTTATCCTGATAAGAGCTGAAGTTTGGAGTGATTTAATGATCCCCTAGGCTGCTCTGCCTTCTGTAGAGGGGCGAAGAACCAGGGAAGACGTGTTTGGCTTCAATGGTGACAGACTGGAGGGGTGTGGACCTTCCTCAGTCGGCACTGGAGGCGACGGCTAAGTCAGTTCCCATCTCAGAGAGAGAGAGAGAGAGAGAGAGAGAGAGAGAGAGAGAGAGAGAGAGAGAGACTTGGTGAATCAGTGTTATCGATGGTTAAAAGGAAATCACTGCCCCAAGCGCCAAAAAAGGCCGACAATTTTCGGTTAAAACAATAGAAACTAAGCCAGAGGGTTCGATTTGTCAAATATTTCGATGGAGGTGACTAACGTCCTTCTCCAGGCATTACGTGTTTGACTAATATGAGAGCGGTTTGCAGGGTTGTCTTGCACCCCACTGTCTTCGTAACACCAGGCCCAACCTGAGAAGCCACATGAGGATTTATCAGGTCGGAGGTCTGATCTGTTCAATCACATTCTGCTGACTCTCTCAATCACATCTGAGGTTGGTTAACCGGTCAAATGTCAAAGGTGGACCCGCAGCCTGTTTGTCCCTCATACCCGGATTTATTCTGGTCTTCGTTTTGTTGGAGCGTGATTGCGGGTCCTTTCCAATTTCATTTGTACTCCTACCACAGAAGGCGACAAATGTAAAATTAAATTTTCATATTGGTTCAATTGTTTTATACTCCTTTTTATCGTAAAAGTGTTACACTTGTATCCTTTTAGTATCCGTTCACCATGTTGAATAATTAACATTATAAAAATATTATAAATATTTCTATGAATGTTCAGTTATGAAATTTAAGTTCAAATATTTCACCTCTTTTTCTCAATCATTGGATTTTAACAAAAAAAATGATGGAGATGGAAAATGTTGAGGACATAAAGCCAAGATTCTCCTATCAAAATACAACGTGATGATAAATATAATACTAACAATCTAGTTCCCAAGATGTTCATTTTCTGTTATTGCATGTTGGTCCCAATCATCCACCTAACCGTCTCTTTCTCTTTTTTAATCTATCTATCTATCTATCTACCTATCCATATAGAATAGATGTTCCCTGTGAGATGGATGAGAATGAGAACGAGAATGTGGAAAAAAATTAAATAAGAAATTTAGAAATCACAAAACTATCAAAAATAGAAGAAAGAGAAATCTAAATTTGGCTCAAAGTCATCTATGATTAGGAAAGCAGGGTTAGGACTGAGTGGTTTAGGCAAACTGTTAAACGTAGGGTGCTCGTAATTAACAATGCAGATCTGACTTATCATGGAGAAAAGACCACACAATGTATCTAAATGGCGGCTATCTTATAAGGATCACTCAATGTGACGACAAGTACACAAAGAACATATTAGAAGAGCAGTGAATACTAGGCGTAAGATGTGAATAAACTAGATGCGAAAAGAAGCCACCATAGAGACCATGGTCAAACAGGGTCAATCGTTGACTGTTTACTGAGTGGAGTCTTTGACTATTGAACAAGTCCCCCAGGTGTAGTAAGCAAAAACGTAGGGCTAGTCGTTGACCGTTCACTGCGTAGGGGCCGTTGGCGCTGGACAAACGGAGGGCTGGCTGCTAGTGGACTACAGCTCGGAACTCTCGAACCCGATAAGCCGGTACGGACCCGACCCAGACCCGATCGGTGGGTGGGGAAGGAAATAACCCCAGTAATGGGCCTGGGGGCAGCCCAACAATGGCTCGCCGGCTTTTAAGCCCTAACTGCTCCGGGGGAGCCGAACCGGCTGACTCCAAAAACCGGAGCGTCGTCGGGGGAGGGGAAAGCGTGGACGATGGAGGAAGAGAGAGGGGATGATGGCGGCGGACAGTGGTGGTGATGGCGGCGAAGGGCGAAGGGTGGGCAGCGGAAATGGTGGAACGGCGGCGCCGGAAGAGACGGCGGCAACGGCAGTTGCGGAAGGCGGAACACGGCGCCGGGAGGAGAAGGGGTTGACGGAGGAAGGGGCGACGGTGGAGACGACTGGGAAGTGGAGAGGCGGCAACGCGGGGAAGCCGGCGTGGCAGCGGCGGCAGCGGAACGGTCGGATGGGAAATCAAGGGGATGATGGTAGCGGACGGTGGCGGCAATGACGGCGAAGGGCTAAGGCTGGGCAGCGGACGGCGACACGGATGGAGAGGGTGACGGTGGGGCGGCCGGATGGTGGAACGGTGGCGGCGGAAGGAAATGGCGACGACGGAGGCGGCTGGAAGGCGGAACGGCGGCGGTGGCGACGGTGATCGGTGGAACATCGACGGTAGAGGGAGATGGCGACGGTAAACCTCCAACCGGGAGCACGGGGTCCTCACGACCAACCCCACCGTTCATTGCCGCCCACCCTAGCCGGGTCGACGGGTCCTCACGACCAGCAACAGGCGACGGAGCCTCGACGAAGGTAAGTCTGATTCCTAAACTTCCAGTCTCCCTCGAAGACGGAGAACCGGGCCTTATACAGGCCTTACATAGAAAAAACGAAAAATAAAGAAACAGAAGCCTACTAAGATAACCAACTTAGGATGAGCTGGTCCCTCGTCCTGTGTCACCCTGGTTACAAAGAAGGAGAGTGAGCGATTAGAAGCAAAGTGGTGCTGAGGGCTAACTCTCGTTAGTTAGATAGAGATAGATGTGGCTAGGATAAGATCGACAATCTGGTCCCCCGGATGTCCATTTTCTCTCGCTGCATGTTAGTTGCAATCGTCCACCTAACCGTATCTCTCTCTCTTTCTCTCGCTATCTATCAATCTATCCATCTAGAATAGATGTTCGCTAGTTAGAAAGAAGGTGAGTCAAACAAAATAGGAGAGAAGTGGTGCCGAGGGAGAACCTTCGTTAGTTAGATAGATATAGATGTGGCATAGTCAAGTGTTGCTCTATCGTAAGAGAAAAGGAAACTATATCATCATGCACAGTTATTGTGTGATGAACGTGTCTTAGCTTGACCTGGGGGACTCTAACAGAAATGATCTGCTTCGACCCTCCACAGGAGATGGGATGTGCAGTTAAACAAGGCGGGAAACTCTCAAAACCGTGAAAACTTCAATAATTTTGAAACACCAAAGTTTCTTCCATCAGATTCCGCGTCCGTGACGGTTGCCCTTTTCCCCATTGGCTCTTTCTAATAGAACAGGCCCTTCCCTCGTAATCTTGGCTTTTGTTGCTTGTGGGGAGCGGGGGCGGGGAGCCGGCGGATCGAACAAGCCCGCCATATGGACAGATCAGGATTTTTGACGGGATTCCCTCGTCAGACTCACCTCTCTGCATCGTTGTGATCCAATGGGTCAATGCTTTGAAATTCGATCGACTTAAATTTCGGTTAACTATACTGCATTTGCCTACCTAATCGTTTAAAAATCGTACACTCTCTGATGTTTCTGGTTTTACTTTTGCCTTGATGAAAATATCGAAAACTGTCTGATCTTTGTCGGTCACTTTTTCTGATCTTTCTGGTTTTACTATTTCGGCGGATATGTAATGTTCAAAGAGCCTTAGGGCAAGGGTTAGCAGTATAAGAACCATCTCTCTCTCTCTCTCTCTCTTTCTGCCCATCTTCCTCCCTCTCTCAAATATGAAACGGCACTAGTCGTCGCCCCCATCACCGCCCTTGGAGGGTCAACTTCTCTCCTATCCCATCCAGCCTGTCAACACCCGGACCAGAGACACTTTCCCTGGTCAATCAATCTTTGATTCCTGACAGGCCTCACGCGGGAAGGTGACGACTAATACCCTCCCCCTCTCCACTCTTACGCCGGCTACGACATTGGGTGCTGCCGTCTATATAAGACGCAGCAAATGCTCAAGGTTTCATCACACCGGCCTGAACTTTAGCTACTGAGAAAGCGAGAGTTTCAGGGAAAGAAGAGAGAGGCAGACACAAACTCACGTAGGGAAAGGCGTCTTTCCATGGCCGCCACTTGCAAAGGCCTGAACTTCACTTGCAATGGCCGCCACTCAGCAGCTTGTCGTCCCTTGCCTGTTCCCTCCTCATTCTCCTCCTGTTGGTGTGCAACACACGCAACTGAGGCCGAACTTCTTCTCGTCCAACGCCATTTATGCATTAATATCTTATATATAGATACTAATTAATTAGTAGAGAATATAATTATACATGTGTTACTAACTTATTACAATATTCATAATGTTTTCTCATTTAAGTCCTTATGTATATTATTTTATTTATATTATAAAGTAAAGTGGTGATTCTCTCACATTTTCTTGATAATTATTTGATTGTAAAGGCTTAGGTGAGCTCTTGTTATGAGTTGGAAGTGATGGAAAAAATTTAAGTCTTCAATCCAAAGAAAAGCCTAAGTCTTATGGAGAGAGTCAGCCTAATATATTTATGGGCCTAAGAGAGGACATCATTTTGGCCTAATCTATTTGAACTTAAAAAGGCTATCAAGAGATGAGATCTAAGTTACCTATCTTAGAACATGTTAAGATGAGATTCAAATGAGAATTATAGCACTATCCTTATTGAAGAATCTAGGCCGTATACCAAGAGAGTCGGTTATTAATCATAACCGTCTATTAGAGGGGCCTAATTCTCTAGAGGTTTAAGGTATCTCGCCTTTCTCTTGGAGGGTGCTTTTTGACTCTCTCTCTAGTAGTGTGATTGGCCAAAGGAAAAAGAAGAAAATCAAAGCCCGGTCAACGGCATTCTCGTGCTCAAGATTGTCATGAAAAAAGTTTACCTAGAGTGCATCAAGATTGTCATGGATCAAGCACTACTCAACCTAGGACTAATGCACAATGAGGTATGTGCAAGATCTAAATTTGAGGCATCCTTATAATCTTTTTTATAGATAGATTAACTCTTAGTTTGAATTAGTTTTACCATTTATTCTATCATTTCAGTACGTTAGATTCATTCTCTCCTCTTTGGCACACTTTTCATTTCTCTTGTCTGTACCCTTTCTAGGTTTAATTTCATCTTTCACAATCTCAAATATATCTATATATATAAGAAAGAAAATAAGTAAAATTTTTACTCTCATTACTCATACTCTCTAAGGATCAACCTTTACTTATCCTAAGTAGAAGAGTGAAATTTTATAAATATTATTTACATGAACTTGGTTGTATCACAATGACATATGAGTACCTCTAAATCGAGTTCATCACTAACACAACATGAGTTATTAATGGAATAGTGATTTTTGATAAAAAAAATTATTTATACTGTTTAAATTCTCAATTTATAAATTCTATTTTACCATTCTAATGCAAGTCAACATGATATCATTGAGACTAAAAGATTGCTCTTATACAATATCCTATGACTCATGTTAGGTTTCCATGTTGCATATTTGTGGAGGCCCCAAAATACTTGATCACTTTGCATGTTTTCTATTAAACTAAAGTTAATTAATTATGCCCTATTTAGTTTCCAACTACTTCAATTTAACCCTTCCTGAAGTCACATATTTAGTAAAGAAACAAGTTAATTTGAGAAAACACAATCAATCTAGAAAATTTTCAATAGTACTATCTCGTAAATATCCATTGAACTTCTTATCATCTCAAACCAACCCAAAAACAAATGGAGTCTTTATCCATAAATTCATATTTACTAGAAATTTCTAAAGTAATCCTTCATGTACTATGCTCATTATCAAAACATGTAGAACTTCTAACTCAACATATAAAACTTCTCCCTGAAAGCCTAAATTGCTGCCAAGATCCTTATATCTTTGCTGTCCATACCAAGGTTCAAGAGAGTTAGGAAACTCAAAAGTATGGATAATCACTGTAGTAGTCAGATCTATGCACCACTAACCAAAAACTAACAAACCCCTCAGAGGAAGGTGGCTTAATGTTAAGAAAAACTAATTGTTTGATCAAGAAATATTGCCAATTGATAATTTGAACTTATTAAAGACTAAGGATAATTTTTTTTCACCAAGGTTTATAAAAAATAAATTCAAAGCCTTAGAGATCATCACTTTTAAGCTTGTAATCATTCGACATCAAAGCTCAAACGAGTCTGCTTCAAGACGATCTGGATAGATTTTCTTTATATTTCTGTTTTGTAAAGCCTATTATCGAGGCAGAGTTGAGATTTCAGTTCTGAAGATCTGTAAGAAGCCAACTCGAAGGACTCTACAATTCATATTTTAAAAAAGTCGAACAACAATATTTGAGAAAGCCTCATGTAATGACTAAATCTGAGGTCTAAGTGGATATTAGTTATCAGATTTTGTCAAACTCCTAGAGAGACAACCATTTAAAAATCTATTGAAGGAAATCTAAGTGAATATTGAAGTATCACACCTAAATGTGTTCTTTTTATTTATTTATGAACTAACTTATACGAAGCCTAATTTAAAATTACGGAGCTGTTATAGCTCCCTCGTACAGTGTTCAATTTAAACAATCAAACCATAAGTTTTACGCAAAATCATACCTAGGAGTTACAATCAGAGTCTGTGGGGAAACCTAGGCCCCGATTACTCTTGTCCTCATTCCTTCCGTTATCGTCCCGTCCAGCACTGACCAATGGACATCGTCCCCTTAGTTCACCCTGCTGCAGGCTCGCCTAACCTCGCCGCTCGGGCCGGTTAGGGGGCTGATGTTGCCTAACTTTACCATAGCCGCCGCAAAGTCTCTGAAGAAGACGGAGCTGCTGGCCACGTAGCTTTGGACGATAGGATCCGCGGAGCCGTTATTGAAGAGCTCCTGGTCGGAGTGGAGGAAACCCCGGAGGGAGACGAGATTTCTGTAGTAGGCATTGTCGAAGACCCTCGGGGTGGAGACGTCGAGCAGCGAGAAGCTGTTGCCGCCGCCGGACTGGAGGCAGTTCTCCTGGACTGACGCGGCAAAGTTGGGATCAATGTTGATGTCGCTGGTTCGGAAAAAGAAGCAGCGGGCAAGGCCGATGGTGTGCGCGCCGGAGAGGGCCACGAGATCCTGCAAACTCAGGCCCTTGTTGGCGAACCTGGTTGTGAGGGCAGAGAGGCTGAACGATGGACCAGGGAGGTTGATGTTGGCTTCGTTCAGGCTGGCCGTTGTGGCGTCCCGCCGCCCGAGGGGCACCGTCCACCAGGGTCCTCCGCTCTGCATGGAGGAGTGAGTCTACTATGTTTAGACTTTGAATTCGTTCGACGGGGACGATCCCAACCATGTCGAGGCGAAGAATTCACCAGGACAACGCCGTCTCTGGTGGCGAGGGCCAGGATATCGGCGCAGGACACAGTGCCGTTGCACGATGCCTCGACGGCAGACTTGATTTCCTCGATGACATCCATGCCGCGAATGGAGTTTATGTTTGGGCCGGCGCTCTGCTCGCCAACGAAGGTCGCGGTGTCGACTAGAAGCACCGACGCATCGCAGCCCTGCAGGATCACACGTGCGGCGGCATTAGATCCGTTGCAACGGCGTGGAGAGGGACCGGCGGTCCGTCATCTACAAGAGTCTGTGCGTGCGTTTACCCGAACGAAGCAGTCGTGAAAGAAGAGGCGGAGAAGGGAGGCGGGCAAGCGGGGGTCATTCGCGACGGCCGTTTGCACGGAACTTTGTACGATCGTCTGCAGGTTGGGGCAGCTCGACGAGTAGAAGTTCGCTGTCAGCTGCGCGTGTGCCGTGCATATGTACAGGAAGAGAACGAGGAGAAAAGAAAGAGAGACGCTGCGTGTGGCCGCCATTCCTAGCGTTGGAAAGGGGCCTTTTCTTTGTATCTCTCTCCCCTTTCTCTCTCTCACTGAAGTGTCGGGTGATGGTGTGCAGGGCTCTTCTCGTTAAATAGAGCGAGGGAGGGCTTTTAGTCGTCCTCATTCCACATGGAAGGCTTGGCTTCCCGGTTGATTGTGGACTGTACAATAGCTGTTGTTCCGATGTCTGAGAGAGGGTGAGGGAGAGAGAAGGAAAGAGGCATTCTGGTCTTTGTTTCCGTTTGAATGTGTTCAATGGTGGTTTAATCCAAGGGTTTCGTGAAGTCTGCGTCCCCGAGTAAGAAGATAAGGCGAGCCCACTTGGGATGGGAACAAATTAGAAATTAATTACAATGTTTTTTCGTAAAAGCTCTTCCCATAAAACTATACAGACTTAGATCTTCTGGAGGCGTGGTTTAAAGTAACGTTTACTATCCTAGTAAAGAAAAAAAATTATATTATCATGTTGTGATTTATTAATAGATATCTAGGTGCAATTTTATGAAAAAAGTTACCTAAACAGATAAATGACACCATTTTTTCTTGATAAATGAATAATTTTCTGTTTCCGTTCTGACTTTCATCCGGCGACGACGGCTACGGTTGCCGCGGTTGTGCTCCAAAGGAGTGCAGGAAATCTACCAGCGGCAGTCTCCTTCTGAAAGAGGACGTACGACTATTTTTTTCAGTCGTACGTCTCTCTCTTTCTCTCTCCTTCTCCCATTGTGAGGGAGGGGTTGCACGGCGACTACCCGAAAGATCTTTCCTCTTTTAAGGAGAGTAGGTGGAGAGATAGATAGATAGAGAGAGAGAGATAGAGATGGGGAGAGAGAGAGAGGGTTGGAGAGTGGTGGGGAGTTCGCGAGAGCGAGAGGACTGCGCTGACTATTTGATCAGGGGAAACGACCATTTGCCTTGATCACCGGAAGTGAGAGAGTGAATTTTCCAACGCGGAAGAGGGATTTCGTTTGACCCCATCTAAGGAGACATCATATTATATTCCCCTACGCACGTCGGCATCATCAGATCTTCGGATCTCAGAGAACGAGGCGTTCCTCCTCCACAGGACCATCTTTAAGTGGACTTTAAAAGTACTTGCTCGCCAGTCTCTAAGCGATCACTATTTCCGAAATGCTGTCGTCCAGTTAAGAATCCTCGATCTCTATCAGCATGGTTCTCTCTTGCCGTTTGATCGCTACCAAACAGTCTTGCCTTGTGACCTGGGTGCCATGCGAGATCTACATACCGTCAATGTCAGCATCATTACCAACTACTAATACTATTAAAGAACAAAACAATAAATAGAGATCTGTAAGAGTGGCCGAGCAAGCATTTGACTGCGAAGAGAGTCAGAGATATTGAGTTTTCCAAGCGGCGGGGTCCCCGCACTTAATCAACCAAATTCCCATGACCTTCGAAAACTGGTAGCCCTGTTATCTCTTGTGAAGGGTGAAGGGAGATCTTCACCAGCGCAAAAATATCTGTTCAAGTTGAGGATTTATGGTTAGATGTAGGCACCGGGATTACGGAGTATTCACGACATGCCATTTGCACAGATTTCAGGAAAAATGAGTCCTGACTGGACCCTAACGAAGTGTAGGCTCCACCCCGGTCCTCCATACGCACACTTCTCTCTCTCCCTCTCTCTCTCTCTCTCTATTTAAATATATCTATATGTTTCTATATATCTATCTATTTATCTACCTATCTACACCTATCTATCTATCTATCTATCTATCTATCTATCTCTGATTCACTATATCCTTCAATTTATCTAACTCAAGCTTGTCCCACTGCACTAGCTCAGTTCTATTTATCCGCTCACCCACCTGTCGTTCTTTCTGAAAGGGAAGCACATGCTTAGGCGGTTTTCAAGTGGAAGAACACATGGGTAGGGAAACAGAGGGATAGATAGACAGAGAATTAAGAGGGGAGAGAGAGAGGGACTTCTTGTTTGGTGAATGACCGCAAGAAATATCGTTATGAAAAAAAATCTTCTTGAAAAAACAGTTTGTCGATCTTATCCTTGCCGTCAGGTCGTCATTTAATTGGCTGTTGATGTTGGTGGATCCTCTATATTTCGTTGGGGGACCTGTCATGGTCATTATTTGTCCTTAAATACTTGCAGAATTTTCGTCTTATTGAAGCAAAAGAGTGAAAATATTTTTACATATTTATGGAAGAAATTTTCACGAAATATGTATAAACTAAATAAAAACAGTTATTACGATGTTCGGAAAAATTACGATAGTGAAAGTATACACGCAACCCTACTTTTCCATCGTAAATATTAATACAGTGAGTCCTTAAGGCAAGATTATGTGCCCATGAAAATAAGTTTCTTCCTTTTGTTGCCATCAGGAATGGGGCCGCCCTCTCTGACTGGATAAGTGCTTGTCGAAGGGGTCAAAGACCGGATAAGTGCTTGTCTAAGGGGTCAAAGACTGGATAAGTGCTTGTCGAAGGGGTCAAAGACCGGATAAGTGCTTGTCTAAGGGGTCAAAGACTGGATAAGTGCTTGTCGAAGGGGTCAAAGACCGGATAAGTGCTTGTCTAAGGGGTCAAAGACTGGATAAGTGCTTGTCGAAGGGGTCAATCGGCTGCGGAACCCACATTTGACCCGTGGAAAATCCAGATGTAATGTAGAGCGTCATCAGTATGCGCTTTAACTATCTGATTTGCGACCCTGAATTCTCGAATGCGACTTCTATGCAAGAATAACCGTGGGCTCAGCTCTATGATAGTAAAACGTGTAATAATATCCCAGGAGGATATTAGCGATTCTATAAAAACAGTTGACTTCTCACCGTAAGGACTCAGAAAAACTGGGGGGAGGGCCATTGATGAAGGCGGATAACAGCACTACTCTCCCTCTCCCCCTCCCTCCATTTCATTGTCTTTGTGTCTCTGCCTTTCTTTCTCTCTCTCTCTGCCGCCCTTTCTTTCAGGCTATCGGAGAGGGAACATCAGTGTCCGTCGCTTCCGCTGTTGACTGTGGAAAAATAAGGCAGAGCAATGAGGGTGAAGAGCCCTCCCTCGCTCTATATAAGGGGCACCAGTCCTGCAAGAGCTTCACCACGACACGCTTCCCTAAGTGCGATATTTACATTTAGAGAGCGAGCGAGCGAGAGAGAGAGAGAGAGGAGGGGGGGGGGGGCTCTTCCCATCGCTGAAATGGCGGCCACACGCAGCGTCTCTCTTGCCTCGCTCGTCGTCCTCCTGCTCGTGGTCACATCACACGCGCAGCTGACAGCGAACTTCTACTCGTCGAGCTGCCCCAACCTGGAGACGATCGTACAAAGTGTCGTGCAAACGGCCTTCGGGAACGACCCCCGTTTGACCGCCTTCCTGCTCCGCCTCTTCTTTCACGACTGCTTCGTCCAAGTAAGCGCACAGACAGTCTCTTGTAGATGACGGACAGCGGGTCCCTCGCCATGTCGCCACAACGGTTCTAATGCCGCAGAACGTTTGATCATGCAGGGCTGCGACGCGTCAGTGCTCCTGGTCGACACCGCGACGTTCCAAGGCGAGCAGACCGCCCCCCAGAACAGAAACCTTGGAGGCCAGGACATCATCGAGCTCATTAAGTCCACCGTCGAAGAATCGTGCAACGGCATCGTGTCGTGCGCCGACATCCTGGCCCTCGCCACAAGGGATGGCGTCGTCCTGGTTATTTCTTCCCCTCGACATCCTTTGGATCCTCCCGTTTAGCCTCTGTCGAATGAATTCACTCTCTAACCAGAGGAGATTGTCTCCTCCGTGCAGAGCGGAGGTCCCTCGTGGACGGTGATGCTGGGGCGGCGGGACGCCACAACGGCCAACAAAATCACAGCTACAGAAGACCTCCCTTTTTCGCGTTTCAACCTCTCCCTCCTCATCACCAACTTCGCCAAGAAGGGCCTGAACTTGCGGGAACTCGTAGCCCTCTCCGGCGCGCACACTGTCGGCTTCGCCCCCTGTCGAGCCTTCCGGAACCGCATCTACAACGACACCAACATCGACACCAACTTCGCCAACTCCAACAAGGCGATCTGCCCGCCGTTTCCTCCGGAAGGCGACGGAAACCTCTCGCCGCTCGATGTCAACACCTGGACTGTCTTCGACAACGAGTACTACAAAAACCTCGTGTCCTTGCGGGGTCTCCTCCACTCCGACCAGGAGCTCTTCAATAACGGCGATGCGGATCCCATCGTCCAAAGCTACGTGGCCAGCAGCTCCGACTTCTTCACAGACTTCGCGGCGGCGATGGCAAAGTTGGGCAGTATCAGCCCTCTTACCGGCTCCAGCGGGGAGATCAGGCGGGTCTGTAGCAGGGTTAACTGAGGGGACGGTGTGCAAGACTCTTCGGTGGATATGAGGCCAGTGGTGGGAATAAAGAGATGACCTATGTCGTCGTCAGGTTCCTTTAGAAACCAGTTCATCTGCGTAAGAAAAAATGGGTTTTCTCGTTTCAAAAAAGATTGTACGACTCTACGTTAGCGACTTTCCTCGTTTTATCTAAGACTTGCACGTTATTTATCCCTGTACGACAACAAAAATAAAAGGAAAAAAATCTCATAAAATAAAAGATACTATCACCCAAACATAAAATAAAAGATGCTAGTATTTTCGGACAGAAGTTTAAATTTGAAAAATCTCATTGTAGGGCAAAAGGAAAAAAAATCCCATACCACTCTATAAATACATGGAAAAAAAAGAGTAAAACTATGATCGATGCAAGACGATTTCATAGGTTTTTGGTAAAACTAATCATCATTTGAAACTGAAAGCATTTTTCGTGATAATGTGTGGATGTGTTGACGTAATCTAGGTGAAGATGAAAGATTGTTTGCTGATAAAGAAGATCATTGTCACTCATTGGAGTTAAATTCATCTTCAACATTTCTACAAAGATATAATTATTCTTTGGCCTCTCAACATACTTTCTAGTGTTGTCAGTTGAAACAGTTTATCTATTAAAGAGATATCTTAAGTTATTTGTTTTAAAATCATGAACTTTGAGATGATGCATTTTAGGAGTACATGATTTTAGCTTAGACAAAACAAAAAAATTATTGATAAGGCCCTCTTTTCTCAATTGGATTTCTGGTCCTTGCTCTAGCTAATTATGTTGGAGAATTAATTTTATGTGAGTGAGGGGGAGTGGGAGAGAGAGAGATGAGGGCAGGGGGAGAGAGATAGGGGATACTTGTGATTAATAAGCTAAAATTTGGAAGGTTTTCAGAATTGCTCAGGTCAGTTTTCATGTCTATCTTCTCTCATGTAGAGAATAATATCTTGGCCATTGATTGAGATGATGATTGTTGGACGATGAAGACACATTGATGGAGACGCCAATATAGCTTTCTTTTGTCAAGTAGAGGGGACTGTTTGACTAAACAGGCCATCTTTAGGGTGTCAAGGGCTAGGCTGGGGCCATCATTAGGGCCTAAGCTGATGCTAGGGTCTCAAGGCCTAGGTAGAAGTCAAAAGGGAGTTGAGGTAGTTCCCCCAGCCTTCCCTCCACCTTCGGAGAGGAAGAGAGAGAGAGAAACAAAGAGACTCTTACCATTTTGGAAATTAAAAACATGTTATTCCTTCTGATCCCACTATCTTTTAGCTAGTGATGTTGTTGGTGAAGACCATCTTTTGTTGCTGCAGTATACGTTAGTAATGTTAAAAAGGCAATAAAATTATTTTTTATTAAGAAAAAACTGTTGTAACCAATTTATTTGAATTTTCAGACCTGCTTGTATATCTAATCTCATAAACAAATAATAACACAATAATATAGAATCGTATTTGTTAACTTGATAAAGTTATATGTGCCACATAGATGATCCTAGTGGGGCACTACTAGAGAGAGCCAAAAAATGCTTTCCAAAGGGGGGGGTTGAGATGCCTTAATCCTCTCGAGAATTATGCCCCTCTAATAGATGATTATGATTAATAATCAACTCTCTTAATGAAAAACTTAGATCATTTTATGAGGGTGACACTCTAATTCTTCTCTTACTCTCATCTTAAGGTGCTCTAAGATGAGTGACCTAGATCTTATCTCTTGATAGTCTTTTTAAGTTCAAATGGGTTAGGCTAAGGTGATGCCCTCTTTTGGGCCCATAAACATATTAGGCAGGCCCTCTCCATAAGACTTAGCTTTTCATTAGATTGAGGTCTTAGGCTTCTACCATTACTTCTAACTCATAATAAGAGCTCACCTAAGTTTTTGCAATCAAATAATTATTAAGAAAATATGAAAAAGTATCACTTGACTTCATAAAAGGCAAGTGAGGTTAGTCTCATAATATAAATAAAATAATATATATTAGGACTTAAATGATAAAATATTATAAAAGTCATAATGAGTCAATAACACATGTATAATTATATTATCTATCTATCAATTAGTGTCTATGTATAAGATGTAACTACTAGTTTATAATTATCAGTGTTCTCTTCAGTTGAAGAATTTTTCTCTTCACGAGTTGAGTAATAGTCCTTTCCTACATTTCTATTTCTAAGTTATCTTTTGGGATGTTTAATTTAAGCAAGTTTTTGTGATTTTTCATGGTAATCAAGCAAATAAAGTATACATCATTACATAGTTGGGCCCAGAGAAGCACTTATCGCTATTTACCCACTCACCTTTCATTCTCCATGAAGCATTAGCTTAAGCTGTAGCCTAATTGAATAAATACATGGATATAGGGAGCAATAAGCAGATGATTGCGACAAATCTGATTACTAAAAAAAGCCTTTTGTGAAAACAGATTGTCAACCTTGCTGTCACATCATATTTCAATACGGGATTGTTGTTGGTATCCTATATCTTTTGTTTTTGTTCATGTGACTTGAAGTTTTCACCTCCTCTCTTATTTACTATGCTATATACATATGTGGAATTTCTTTCCCTCATTTATTTCATGGATAGGTAACTTTTCTCATTTGCCATAATTATTTTTCCTTCTCTTGTATTTGGGATACATGTGAAAATTCAACTTAATGAGATGAGTAAATAGTATTTTTCTTCTACATTTGGGGATTTCACATTGTTGTGCTATATGATCTTTTTATACATACATGATGTGATTCAATGGTCTTCTCCTCATAATTCCTCTGACCAAACATATATGACTTCAGTCAAGCCTAGGTGTTCAACAAGATTCTCTTTGACTAAATAGATACTAGATACTAAGTTTTGAAATGTAAGTAGTACGATCTGATCCATTTGACCTACTCTATACTCTAGGAGTATTTAAAGATGTTTAATCTCTTCTTCAAACTTCTAGCTTAGACATGGTTGTCTTAGAATATTTCAATTCAGTCATTTATACTAATTTACCTCTTTGACACTAAACATGAGAAAATGAGACTAACATGATTTTTTGCATCAACTATGTGTCTTTTATGCAGTAATGGAATTCTATAGGTTCCACGGACGCTAGATGAAACACAGAGAGGTGAATTGGATTTCTGTAGGTTCTTCTAAATTCTCATTTCTATCTATCAATGGAAGTTTTGACATAGGTTATCTCATTCCTTTCTCTTTTTCTGTGTTCTCTCAAAACTCTTTCTCTTTTGACTTAGGTTCTTTTAGAATTCTCTCCTCACCACCAAAGACACATAAGCCTTTTATATTAGTTTACCTCTCACTTGGCTACTCCTAGTCTTGGAGAATTTTTTATATTGAAGTTCACTATTTTCATTTGAAATACATCTAATTTTAAGAAGATTAGTACCAAACCACATTAGTTTACTCTCCTAAGAGGCTTTGTCCTTTAAGGACACAACTAGGCTCTCAACATCATGTTCTTTAGCCCAAACAGCTCTTCACTCACCTCCCATGTATCTTAGGGTCTGATCGAGAGTCAGTCTTTAAAATAAATCTAGTTTTAAATCATTGCTATCAAATGAAGGATTGATACATAGATGTTGAAGTTTGCAGTGACTGAATTTAGTTTTAAATCTAGTTTTCAATTGATGTTTGTAGTGACTAAATTTTGCTTGAGTGAGAAGGATATTCATTGGAGTGTACATAGATGTTGTAAAAATGTTTTGTTATTCTTCTTTCCAAACTTTTCTCCTTTTATTCTCCAATATTCTCCAATCATTTTGAGTCCTAAAAAATGGTCATGTAGATTCAAAAATCTCCCTATTTCACTAATTGCACACCAACAACCTTTGGCTATTTTTTATTTCAAGACTTATTACTCTCACATATGTTCATTTGAAACTTAAGTTGAAGATTCATTTCTTCTCAACAAACATCTTTGATGTTGAAGTTAAGTTTAAATATCCTTATTTAATCCACAGTTGTATCCACATAATCTACTGACACATCACTATCTAAAATACATGGCAGTAGCCTTTGCTTGTTTCATGCATTAAAGCTCTTTGATTTCTTTTTTGTCTTATTTAAAATTTGAACCAAAGATTTATTATTGTCAAAATCATCTTCTCTATTGAGGTCAAGTCTAAATAAGTTATTTAGTTTGTGGTTATCTTCATGTATTTTGCTGACATGACACTCTTTCCTTTTATGGTTTTTTATATATTTTCTCAAAGAAGCTTCCAAGTTATTGTCATATAGGTTTCAAGTTGGAATTTGAAAGTGACTTTGATACTTCAGATTTTCACATATTTCTTTACTAAGGCTTCTATCTTCCAAATTTGAAGTTCGATACTTTGCTGGTGCCTTTAATACTTTGATTTTTTTAGGCATTTCTTCATTGAGGCTTTTGTCATCCAAATTTTGAGTTTGATACTTATCGATGTCTTTAATACTTCATGATTTGAGGTATTTCTTTTATGAGGCACCATTATCTAGATTCCAAGTTTGACACGTGCTGGTGCCTTTAATATTCTAATATGTTTATGATATTTCATCACATGTTGACACTGAATTTTCCATATTGATATTAAAAATCTAAGATGTTGCATTAGTTTCAACATTTAAGGATCTCAAATAGTAATACCTTGGATTGGTTTGTTAGTCATAAGATCATAAGAGCATCAATATTATATAACTTCAATACTTCTCATAAATATTATACCTTTAGCACAAGCTATCATGAAATTCATTGAATATTCAATAAGTAAATAAATAAATTTTCACTTATAATATGAAAACCAAGGGAATCAATGGTATACATTTTGGAAAAAATTATAATTTTTTTTGATCCTTAACCCTAACTTAGAGTGTCATTGTCCTCAAATGACATCATCCATGAAAATGATAAATGTATGTTGATAGGAAATGTAGCCACATATTGAGAAACTCAACAAAGAAGCCTGCAAGTAAAATCATGTATGCTAATAGGAAAGGATGATTTTTTGAAAAAGAA